TTTTTTGTCGCTTGTTTCGCTATTTGAATCAGTTAGAGACCTTTAGTCCATTTGCTTTCGATTTTCCACATTCCTTTTGAGCTCCTCACTTCTTTCCGGCTTCGCATTTCTTAGCCTTAGACCTCATAATGAATAAGGTTGATGCACTACTTCGCACTCCGTTTTCGCAGCTGCCGCTGGAACAAAAATTAGAGGTACAACGTATTGGGCTTTATCAACCAAAAAATTGTTCACTGGAACAATCCCATGACGGAGGAAAGCGTCGGCGTACATTCTGCGCAGAAACTTGGTATAAAAAACACGAATGGTTGTGTTACAGCGAGGACAAAAATGCACTTTTTTGTATTTATTGCCTACTTTTTGCTACCGCCCGTGACTCACGTTGGTGTAAATTTGGTTTTAGAGATCTTAAACATCTTTCCGAGCGTGCCAGGGATCATCAATCTTCTATGGAGCATCTGGACAATGCAGTAAAATACCGAACATTCGGAAATGTTAATATTGCAGCACAGTTGGATGAAGGACGCGCGGTTTCTATTCGTCGGCACAACCAAAACGTCGAGAAAAACCGCCATGTTCTCGGTCGATTGATAGATGTTTTGAAGTTCATTGGTTGTCACGAGCTGTCCCTCCGTGGGCACGATGAACTTCTAACAGAGGGGTATTTTGGGATATGGTGGAATGCACCGCATCCCTAGATACAGTATTGAGAGATCATCTTGATGCCGCAACTGTTTCGAAAGGGACATCTAAGGATATCCAAAAGGATTTGCTCGACTCAATGTATAGAATTTATTTACAACATTTGGCTCTGGAAAATTGAGAATTGCCAGTTCCTTTCGATTCAGTCTGACGAGACAACTGACATCACGTGCGTTTCCCAACTGGCTGTGATTTTTTCGATTTGTGAAAGATGGTAAACCTACCGAGAGATTTCACAGCTTTGTACCAATCGTTGATCGCACGGCTGCGAGATATCGGCTGTACTGAAAGAAGTGTTACAGCCTTACAACGCGAAGTCAAAATTGATAGCTCAAACTTATGACGGCGCGGCAGTCATGAGTGGGTCGAAACATGGTGTTCAAGTTTATATAAAAGAAGATTTTCCTCATGCGCATTTTTTAAATTGTTATGCACACCAATTTAACCTCGTTATTAAAAATATGTGTCTTGATACCCCTCTCGTCCGTATATTTTTTGCAAATGTTTCGGGGTTTTCTTCATTTTTTTCCGTTTCGCCGAAGTGCACTGACCTCCTTCGCCAGATATGTAGCCGCCGTCTTCCAGCTTGTGCACCAACACGTTGGAACTTCCAATCACGCGTGGTGCAGAGCGTGTCCGAAATTAGGTCTGAGCTCATTGAGTGTTTCAATGGCATTCAGAGCTCTCCGGTTTGGGACGAACGCTCTGTGAGGGGGCGGCAGGTCTAAAGCGTCTGCTAGAAGATGGTGAGTTTTCATTTTTTCTCGCTTTTTTCTCCACAATATTCTAACACGTGGATGTATTATACGGCGCATTGCAGTCAAGGCTAATGGATGGAGCGTCTGTGCTGTCGTGTATTTCAGACTTCTGCGATGCTCTATCTCGTATCCGGGAAACAATAAAATACGACGACACATGGAGTGCTTCTTTACGCCGCGGGCAAACAACGCAGCGTTTGATTTTGTCTGCAAAAGAATGCTGTGACATTCTGATGAATCAAATAGGCGATCGTCTGCGCATTGAACACCTTGCCGCGTTCTCTTTGATTTTACCCCATTTTGAATTTTACCCCATGATAAACGTGAGTAGATTGGAAAATGACCGCGGCGTGTTGCATATATGTTCAAGCAGTAGAAGTCTAGCAGCATATATATCTATGAGTGAGCGACGCATGTCCTTATCTTTGCATTAGCTTTCCTTTCTTCATAGTAACGTTTTGAACCTTATTTTAGGTTTTGTCTGCTTTCACGAAGTTTCTGTTAATATGTCATTGTATTTATCTGGGTAAATATTGCCTTTCCGTTTGAAAGAGGTTTCAAAATAAACTATGTCTATATTTATTAATCCCTTGACTTGGACCGGTTTTAAAGACACTTTCTTATCGTTAAAAATTGTCGCTTTTGCCGATTGGTTGTTACCGATGGAATGGTTTTTATACTCATAAAATGATGGGAGAACTTACAGCGCTCATCCTGTCCCCGTAGATGGGGGTGACTTGGTCCCGCAGTAGCTTGCCCCGGTTGTCAAAATGACCACGCGCCGCCACTGCAAATATGTATGACGAAATAACTGCTAAACAGAAATCGATGGAAGATTTCTCGAAACGTGTGATGAAAGAATCCGTGAACTCGGAGACTTAGTTTAAGGATCTTAATAATGAATTATACTATACTACAGATAAAGTTGAAAAATAAGAAAGGCTCTAGATTGGAAACCTAGAATTCCATGGTCTTGCCCTCGTAAGACACCGACAAACTGGTGATGGGGCTGGAGAAAATAAGCCACGCTGACATCAAACCCTGCAACACCTTCAAAACCCATCGATCTCAAACGCATACAACACAATATCAAACCTATCCTAAGCCTTCATTGTCAAGAACTTAACAGACTGTAATATTAATCTATTCTATTAGGCGAAAAAACGTTACAGGTACGCTTTTCTCTGGTCATCCAATGGAAGGGTTTTGGTGTCGAAAACAAACAAACAAAGAAACTAGTACCTCATCAATAAATAGTGAAGAAGATCAGATAAGTGTAAATATTTCCTTAGTCATTCACATCTAGTCTTACTCAATGCTCCCTATCAATGATTTAACTTTCTATCCCTCCAACTTAAACTGGGAATCAGCAAGTCTTAATCCTTTCGACGATTCAATGCCTCGAAATAACTCAGGTCAGTGAGGTTTCTTCCAGGTTTTTACCATCCGACCTCATTATAATGCATTTTAACATCAGATTACTAGCTAAATATGTTGATAATTTAATTGATTTAACTTGTCATTTTCTCCCCCATGTGATTGCTCTAAATGAGACCCGGATCAATAATGGGACCGCATCTTTTGATATAGACACCCAGGGTACATTTTTTATCATGTTCCCTCCCCAACTCAGGCGGATTGTACATCAATGATAGTTCAGATTGCCGAAAGATTCCATCTTTCACCTAAGCAATGACTCGCCTATTCGATACGTTGGCAATGACAATTGATATGCCTAAGTCATAGTATGTTCTCCCAGTGATAACGAAACCCACGAGAGTCACCTCAACCTCCCACACAAAAATAGACCATATTCATACAAATGCGATAAACCATTGTTTTTCATCATTTATTTTGTTTAGTGACATGACTGGCCACTTTCCTCTAAAGCAGGGGTTTCAAACTCGCGGGCCGCATGCGGCCCCAGAGAACTTGGAATGCGGCCCTCGAACGCTTAGCAATAATTGCAATATTTTGATGAAGCTTGGGGATGAAAATCGGAAATATCAAAAGGATTGGGAAGAGTTGTAAGACAACAATGTATGCTTAGTATGCCGTAAATCTGTTTCGAGCTGGAAGTCTTATAATTTGAAAATGATGCAGTCGGAGCATAGCGGTACGCTGACGAACAAAAATTTGACAAGCCAGTTAGTTACAATGTGCGGTATCAAAACTAAGCGTTGATATTAAACCGTTGAGCAATGACAATCGAAGGCATGTTTCGCACTAGAAAAATTGCTGACTTTATTTTTATTCAACAAAGTGCTGTCCGCAAACAAGGAAACACAAGCGAGGTGACTTCTGGATTTGTCACCCAGTAGTCCTGCCAATAGATGATATCCACATTGCGCGACATTCCGGATCTTGGAATATAACTGAAGATCTATTTTGTTGTCTATCTACACTATACGTACAGCCAACGGAACAAAACGAAATAACCATTTTCAACAGCCAAACAAAACGGAAACGTGTAATCCGACTTGCAACTGACAGAAGCCTAAAGGACGTTTTTGTTTTTTTGCCGTCCAGTAAACAAAGTCACGTGACCCGTGCAAGTCCTCTATACTTTACCATTGTCAAATTTTCGATGCTTATTTTAAGAGTGGTTTCGCGAGTTGGCGCCTGTAATGGGGTATTTGTTTCAAACCGTCATTCTGATTCATAGCATTCAACAATTTGTTTTTTACAAGTAACGGTAAAGAATTTTGGCCTAGTTTATCACAGCTCTTTCTGCACTAATTTTTTATTACTGCAATTAAACAGAAACTTCTAAGAAGACAAAATGAAAATTAAATTATTTGATTTATATTTAAATTTCCGAAACACAACTGAAAACTAACTAATAGAATTCAAAAACGCGAAAACGAAGGAATGTTTACGACCACGCCTGAAAATATGTCTGAGTGAAAAAGGTGTCTGAGCGGATGGGAAAAGGAACATTGTTACGCCACTTTTTGTAGCTTGCTGATTGGCCAATGTCACGAAGTAAACGAGGAAGTCGATGCTCAAGGAAAAACATACCACTTAATAGTACAAAATGTGGCGGAAATGTCTGGTCCGAAAAGTTAGTCATTTGTTTGTTTACTGATCTATACATGAAACTCTATGAATTGCTGAAATTAATCAAACATTTTCAAAGATCCAGATTAACCGATGATCACGTGACAATGTTAATTAGAGTTGTTACTGTAAAATCATTTAAGATATTAGTAAGTTGGTGGCATAAAAAAGATGCCAAACGTCAGGACATACGTAATAAAAAATATTGAGTTTATTCTGTAGTATTTTTGTAAATTTTATGTCTATATATCCAGATTAAGTCATTTTTAGTGTAGGCTATGTACTATTCTTTCCTTATCAAAACTTGTTCAAAAGTGTTTTGATTAGTTGTGCATAAAACTATGATTTTTTGTAATAAACTGTAAAAATAGTGAAATGCAAAAATGTATATGTAAATGGCATTTAAGAAAATAACAAAACTTCATTCGGCTGTTCAATTGCATCACAATATATGTTACAAAATACACCTATCCAAAAATATGCTTCAAGTATACATTATCAAAAACTGTTTGTGGCCTCTTGCACAATATGATGAGGCCCTCGAAAACCCACGAGTTTGACACCCCTGCTCTAAAGTGCACAATTCAATTTGGCTCTTACACGACAGACTATCTATGGAATATATGAATCTGTAGTTGATGCACAAAGATCAGGAAGCTCCAAGGAGCTCTGAGGAAAACACTCACAGCCGTATAAATTCCAAATTCTTTGTTACGCTTCTTGCCAAACAAAAAAATTTGGCATCTCATACCTTGGGTTAATCTCCTTGTCGTTATGTAGGCAGATGAAAAATGCAAACAATACCTAAATTTTGCTTCTTATTCATATTATGTTGGCTGATGAAATGAACTATGATGAGTAACTGAAAAGAAAATCAAAAGTGTATATTTACTTTTGAGACACCCTGTATTTTCCTATACCTCAAAAAAGCCTTCGTTACTGCCAATCATACTATTATCTCACGCACACACTGCAGGTAACTTATTTTGCAATTACCTGTCTAGTCGACAACAATTTGTTGAGGTAAATTGCCACAGGTCTCCGATGCTCCCATCCATTGTGGAATTCCCCAAGGTTCTGTTTTAGGACCCCTTGTATTCTTGATCGCAATAAGTGATTTGTCGTTCTGCTCCAATTTCTTAACCAAACTTTTTGTTGACGATACATGCCCGCTTGACAGTTCAGAAGATTTGAACACGCTCCAAGACAAAGTGAACTCTGGAATTAACAAAATATATGATTGGATGACATGTAACAAATTCACAGTGAATGTTGATAAATCAAAAGGGATGTTGTTCAGCCCCAAAACTTGCACCAGACACGCAAACGTCTCAATCAAACTTATGGGTATCACGTATGAAGTTGTCAACTTTTCCAATCTCATATTCAATAGCTGCCTCCCAAGCAAACTTGCATAAATTAGAGGCTCCACAAAATAGAGCCGTTAGAATTCTCGCTGGAGCATCTATTCGTTCTAACTCAAACACCCCATAGATCAGGGCTTCTCAAACTTCTGGGCTCGTGGCCCCTTTCGAAATATTAAAAATTTTCGCGGCCCCTGTTCATGTTAATAATGCAAAACAGTTCGAAATATTTTTATTGACACAGTCAAATTTTTCACCTTTTAGTAGGCCTACTCCATAACAAAAACAAATTCCCTTTTACTCCGATTAACACTACTCATTTATTCAGTGTGATGAGTGCGAATGTTTTGCAGCAAGTCCAGCCGTGGCTTAATGTTTGTCGATTGAAGGCCTCAATGATAATGAATTATGACTTCTGGCCACCGGCGGCATGGTCCTTATCATGCTTCGTTACTCACTTTCAATGATCAAATTTAGCATAAAGCAGCGGTTCGTGCAGCACTAGATTATCAGAGAAAAACTCACGGCGCACCTACAGGAAAAAATGCTGCCTTCAGCTAAAAAAAATAATTTTATTATCGTTAATGTGCACTTTATGCCTTTTAAAGTTTATAAACAAGTAGTAGACCTAAAGAATACAGGCGAGAGGTTAACTTCTCTTTTTAATCTCGGCCGTGTTCTTCTTTAAGAAGCTAAAAAAATCACTCATGTTTACCTCTACTATTACGCAACAATAGACCCTACGTAACAGAAAGTGAACAATATAGAGTGGTGAAATGAAATCATTGATTCATATTATACATCATTTACAACAATGAAAAAAAAATAAAACCTTTAGAATGAATAAAATATTCAATCATAAATTAGTTGATATATAACACAAATCTCTTAATTTTCGAAGCGCACTTAGCAAAGCACTCTCCGGAACCGCTGGCATAACGATTGAAGCCGGCATCGTTGTGCAATCAAATCAAATCGGGTTCACGATCAGTATATAGACATTGGTATGCAAGCGCGAGGATTCTACTGTGTTTCCCCGAAAATAGGAAAATGCGACCTAGCCTTCCACTTAAAGTAAAACTTACTCGATAGCGCAATTTTTTTAATGGTTAATGATCTGTTTAGCAGTTATTTTAAATAAAAACGTTTTATTCTTAAGTAAAATAAGTTTTCCTATTTTGTATATTTAAAATTCACGTAATTCCTTAATTTGTTACTAAAAAATGAAAATAAAAGACATCTCCATTAAAATAAGCCCCATTATTATTTTTCGAAAGAAAAATTGGAAACACTGTCTTATTTTGGGGGAAACACGGTAAGATGCTGTATTCACTCGGAATCGCGAGTTTTTTTTGCACATGTTTTAATAATTGTATTTCGAATCAAGAGTCTGAAAAAGTGCAATAGACATAGTACTTTGTGTAAAATTGGTGTTCTCTTTGCGGCCCCCAAAATTCGTTTCGCGGCCTCTAGTTTGGGAATCCCTGCCATAAATCAGGATACTAAAATTGTCCGACATCCACAAATTAGAGGTCTCTAAGTTTATGCATCAATACCACAACCATAATTTACCAGCAGCCTTTGGCAATTATTTTATTAAGCTTAGAAACGTACTCGTACATGAGCACAACACTCGCTCCTTGACAAAGTCTAATGTATTTTTACCCCGTTTTTTCTTAAGCAAAACTCAAAATTCCTTGAAATAAAAAGGTGTTTTATTTGGAAATAGTATTACCCACAGTTTACTTGACGTAAAATAAAATATAAAAGCTCATGCTTTCTTTCTACCTGTCTCCTGTCAGCACTTTGAGTTGATGTGCTGTCAGCATTCATTTTTTTTAATCTTTCTTCATTCTGTATATACAATATGTATTTTCTGCACGTGTAAAAATAAACTACTGACTGACTACTTTGCGGTAACTGAAACTATTTTATAGTTGAAACCATAATGAGCTGATTCATAACCCCAAAACATGCACGATTTTTTGTCTGGAGAAGGCGTTTGATTGCTACTCCACGTAGGCTTCGTGCAGATGAGTGATTGTTACATAAGTAAACAATGCTGTCGCTGTTTGAATGTAACAACCCTCGATAGATCACTAACTACTATTAATAAACGATACTTGTTATCAGAACAAGCTACTTAGGCTACATGATGTTAGTTTAGCACTGTTTATATAGGTCAGCGTTTCCCGAACTGTGTTCCGCGAGCATTCCGTCGGAAAGGGATCAAAATAACGACTAAATTGTTCGCCATGGCGATCTCGAGATCGTAAAGTTGTCGTCCAACTAGCGACCGTTCAATAACGCGTCACCGTCGGTCTAAAGAGGACTTACTTTTTGAGGGTAGTGGCATTCCCGTCAACCGTCGGCCTAGTTTTTTGGCTGTCAAGTTCACCATGAAGTTTACAGCAATGTTTTTGTTTTTTTCTATAAGCAAACATTTAGGCCGAAAGGTAAAAGGTCAACTCTTCTTCCTCCATCTCTGCTTGGTTTTACTTTGAAATGCTGAAAAAAAAAAAATCATTCACGTTCGCTAAACTCGATTCAACAGATAAATAAACTGCATCTCGCAAAGTTGTATAGGTCAGCGTTTCCCAAACTGTGTTCCGCGAGCATTCCGTCGAAAAGGGATCAAAATAACGACTAAATTGTTCGCTATGGCGATCTCGAGATCGTGAAGTTGTCGTCCAACTAGCGACCGTTCAATAACGCGTCACCGTCAACCTAGCCTTTTGATTGTCAAGTTCATCATCAAGTTTACAGCAACCTTTTTAGTTTTTCTGTAAGCAAACATGTAGGCCTAAAGAATAAAGGCAAAAGGTCAACTCTTCTTCCTCCATCTCTGCCCAGTTTTACTTTGAAATGCTGAAAAAAATCACTCACGTTCGCTAAACTCGATTCAGCAGATAAATAAACTGCAGCTCGCGAAGTTGCAGCAAGTACTTCTATCTCCATTATTACGTAACATTAGAGGCGCGTTTTGGAAAGCAAAGCATATAAAAGGGGAAAAATGAATTTATTTAGTTTATATACACAGCATTTTAAAAAAAGAAACAAAAAACATTTATAATAAATGAAATATGTTTAATATTCAATCATATTTTAGTTATGTTTAACCGTAGTAGTATATATTTACGGTTTAACACAATTTTGTTAGTTTTCGCGACGCATTAGGCGACTCGCCACGGCGACCCTTTGGGAAAGGCTGTATTACACCATTTTTCTTTATCAATTTTACCCTTTCAATTTTTGGTGTTCCGCGAGGCGAGATAAAAAGCGTATGTATTACGTGGCCAAAAAAGTTTGGGAAACACTGATATATATCGGTAAATCTTTGGTATAAAATCTATAGGTTTATATGTACTAAAATGTCTTTCTGGCGCAAAAAGATTTAGAAATATGCTTTAACTGATCCTTCACTCTAAATTTGTTCCTGGCCGAGACCCGACAATATTTTGAGCATCGCAGCAAAGGTGACCAACAGGCTCGTCATCTAAGAGTTCCGAGTACCGGTGGGGTGTGATATTTGTGGGGGGTCTATAAATCTATCGGCCTCTGTACATCTGCAGATACATTCATTTAAATTGTGGTTTAATTTCTGGCAAAAATAATTCTAATAGTCGTAACTCGGGTTCATACAACTTAATCATTATCATTTATCCCCCACTTAATAGCTATTCTGGGCGGGCTTGTAGCCCGCGAACAAAAAAAAAATATGTTGACTAGCAATTAAGATGTGATCTTGTGTCATGATTTATAACAGGGGTCGGCAACCTACATACAACCCATGGAGTAAAATAATCCGGCCCGCGACGAGCGACAAAACCGGTTTTGTCGATGAATTAATTTTATAATCTACTAATAAAGAGGTTGAATTTATTATATATATAAATCTTTTTAATTTCAATCATAACGAACAATGTCGAAAGGGAACGGTATGAAACCATTCATGAGAGTAGAAGTGTGGCGAGCTCATCAATTACAGTATGTGAAAGACTGAGTTCATTTTGTCTTTGGTTTAGTAATAAGAATCACGCCACCATTGAATCAGGGTTCGATGGGGATCAACCCCAGGGCTCAATTCGTCATATTACACTATTGAAACATTTCCAATTTGCTGGCTTCATATTATCTTCTACCCTACGGGGAATCCATAACACAGTTTAGTCCTGTCTGGTTTGTTAGTCGCTGGTTCGATCCGAGTGTGCGTTCACAACTTCGTCGTTACCAAGAAAATTAATTTATTTTTTATCTTCAGATATCAATAATAACTGGAGAAATTAATTATATGGTAATCCCCGTCAAGTTAGCAGTTAACGTCGGGCTTTCGTGAATAGGCGGGCAGTGAGGAGTGAACTGAATTTCCCTATCTCAGGTTATAAAATACTCGCGGCTAAAAATTTTGAGCATCGGTTTCATGGATATTTTTCCGACCCTTGACCCCAGAAAATTTTTTCCTATACTTTACTTTGGCACAAAAATTTATGCTTATGTTCAAAATCAGCATTTTTATCAAGAGTATTCAACTGCGTACCGCTTGCAGGTACTGACAACTAATTTTAGCCCAGTCTATCACAGTATCTGCGGGACACATTTTTGATTATTGCAACTAAACTAAAGCTCCCCGGAGAACATAATGACAATAAAGTTATTTAATTTACAACTACTTTCCAAAACACAACTTAAAAATGACAAATAACACGTGAAACAACGAAAACGACGCAATGTTCGCAACCATGCTCGAACATTTGTCTGAGTGGAACAAATGTCTGGGCGACCGCATAAATACCAATTGTTTTGAATTAATACTAGAAAATGGTACCACAGTTTCTGATCCAGTTCAAGTGGCCTCCGAATTTAATAAAATCTTCTCAACCATAGGGAAGAAACTTGCAGATAATCGCACGTTGCTCAAAACCATGTAGGCCTACCGAATTCTTAGATGTAACTTCGCAGAACTCTTTCTTTCTTGAATTAACAACACCTTTGGATGTTCTCTATGTAATCAGGAATCTGAAACAGGGTAAAGCTGTTGGGCCCGATGGTATTTCCTCCTATTTCCTAAGAATAGTTGCCGATATTATATCACCGGTACTAAGTCATTTTTTCAATTCATCGTTCAGTCTAGGCATATATCCTTCCTCATTGAAAATGGCTAGAGTAATACCAATATTTTAATGTGGTAAAAAGAATAACCATTCGAACTACAGACCAATCTCTATTTTATCCTCAATTAGCATCATGGCGGAAAAGTTAATTTATACTAGAACAGGGGTTCCCAAACCAGGGGTCGGGACCCCAAATTGGGTTGGAGTGATAAGTAGAGTAGGTAGGGTCGCAAACAGGTCATGGGGTCGCTGAGTTATGGTCGAGGATGGATGTACAAAACATCTAATATTTGACAAACAATGTTAAATTAGCAGTTTGCACCATGGCTTACTGTAAAACAGGCTCATAGGCATCGCTCTATGCTTATGCTATAGAAAATGTAGGTGATTATTGTGACATCACCGTTTGATTTT